TTTGATTCGTGATTAAGATTATTTTTCTAATAAATCAGTTTTTCTAAAATTTCTTTCTTTAATTTTAACAATTCAAATTTGTTTTGTATGTTTGGCAACAATCGGATAGCATTATCGCGGTATGTTTACTATTTTGCTTATATTTTACATCGTGTTTCTTTATGTAATTTTAAGCTAAATTTATTTCTCTTCATTAAGCGAAGATGAAGATAATATTTGACCTACTTATAGTAACACTCTCTGCTCATTTTTCTGCCAAATAGTTACAGTTTTGATGATAACACAAGACTGTCGCCTGATCTCCACAAACGCTTCTAGCGGACCGATTGAAATTTTCCGCCTATTTTATCTTTCTAATAAAATCCGAAATAAAATTAATTCGTTACATAATTTTTAGGTTTATTTTTGGAATCTATGTTTTTTTCCGTTGACCATTTACATCAAATCAAAAGATATAGTCAGATACCGCGATATGCATTCAATGTTTGTAAAACGTTCCGTGCATATTCTAACAATATTTTTTCCCACTTGACGACATTTTAATTTAGCGAAATTAATCGAAGGAATTTTTTAAAAGAAAGTTTTTTTTTTCTGTTTCAGACAATTTTTTAAAATTTCATTTAATACTTATGTGTTATCGCCAACACGTTTGATATAACTTACCAAGTTAGCAATTTCACTTTCGCTTGTATTGAATGCGCTGAATTGGCAATCATGGGCTTCGTTTTATACAATGTCGCTAATAGGTAGCGATAATACATAAATACCTTTCGTTTAATGATACTATTTGAATACAAATGGCAAAATTAAAAGCTTCTTATAAATGTATTTTGAGTCATCAAAATATTGAACCTTATTTTGTTTTTGATTGCTTTTTAAGTTTGTGTTATAACTTTCTTAAACATGTTTCATTAGTAATTCTTTAACAAAATACAAATTTCTCAACAAGTTATAATGGCTTGCTTTTGTCAGAGACATAGCTATCACTTATCAGCCATACTAATGATGCAGGGCCCCAAAGGAATTTGGATACAAGGCCTACTCAGAGCCGTTTTGCAATTTTATGTTTTTGTTTTAACCTTTTTAAGTGCAGTCAATCGATTTCAGTACATAAAATTGATTTGCAAAATATCGGTCATCCTACTGACCACGCAAAAGCAGTGAGAGGGGTAATTCCACGTCAAATCAGAATAAGCATCAGAGAACAAGCAAAACAGATGGCTCAAATACGTGTTGAGGAAGCTAGTGTTCATAGGATTGTAATTATTTTTAAATTATGCTTTCTCATTGATAAAGATAGTTCAAGTTCTTTTATGTCAATTAACTTTAGTGTTGTATTTCATTTTCAATTTATTTTTAAGCTCGGGATATATATTTTTTGGATAAATTTTATGTATAAAATCTAATTTTAATTCTGTATGCTATAGATCTGTTTGGCGTGATTTCTCTCCACAAAGGAGTACTGTACCGAAGGAAAACCTCTACCTATTTTATCTTTCTCCAGTGATCCTAAATTAAATTAATATATAATTTTTATTTTCTTATACTTATGTTGTTGTTTTTTAGTCGACCATTTATCTAAAATCAAAAGACATCACCAAATGCTGCAATATGCATTCAAGGTAAAACCATTCTATGCCACAGTAATATTTTTTTGCTCTTGACTGTAAATTTTTCCACTAAGTAGTTGTCGAAATTTCTAAAAGTTGGGGCAATAACATTAGACTCACAAAGGATCTATTTTGTGTGATTTCAAAATATTATTTGGTGTTACTGCAAAATACAACTGGGAAAGTTAAGATTTTCTAATGTATATTTTGTGTTTGTTTTGGTATATACGAATTATCAAAACCGTATTGGCAAACTTATATGAAAGGAAGCACATGGTTGCCAATTCACCGTGTACGACACGTACAAAATCGGGGTTGATATAGTTGTAATAGTACCTTTATTTGGAACTGTTTTTGTTGACTTTATCAAAATGTTGAACTTAAATTTTTTATAGCTTTTTAACACTTAAGTTTGTTATAGCTAGCTGTACTCAGCCATGCATTCCAGTGGCTCAGTCTGATTGAAAAGAAAAAAAACACACATTTCTAATATCTTTATCCGCTTGCACTTGAGGTATGATTTTTTATATAAAAATGTGTAAATATACATAAGCAAAACTTTTTTAAACATATTTCATTTGTAATTTGTTAACAGGGTTTTCCAAGTTATCATGGTTTTTTCGTGTTATGAATCTAAAATTATTGACATTGTCTCCATGGGAGAGGTGCCAAGTTTAAAAATAAGCTTAAAACGGCTCTTTTTGAGGTTAAAAGATTAATTTTACAGTGCTTATATGGGTAGACATTTTGTGTTGATTCGTTCTCTGTACAGATACAAAATTGTCTCTTGTGCCTACTCTAGAACAGCAGTTGCCAACCTTCAGAACTTCATGAACTACGTAACGTATAACTTCATATTTTTTTGTGAATCTCCAACAGGATTGACCATTATATGGTGGCTACAGCTATATTTACCTCTTTATTTATGTTTCTATACCTCTGAAAATAAATTCATGAAAAGCAATAACAAATCGACGATCAACAGACTGAAGTGTTTTGCCATCAATTTATTAGGATTACCATAGCTGACTTTGCAAATTTCGATGGTTAATCTGAAAAAATAGCTAAAAATCGCTAAATTTAGGAATTTCGTTAAAAGTGGCAACTAAAAGGTTTTAGTAAAGTAAAATCCATTTTCCATAATATGTTGTTTTTGTACTTATGCATCACCTTAACAAAATTGTTGCCACGCGTATCGCACCTTAATATCTAAATAACAAAGATTCTAACTTTTTTTTATGAAAAAAATTGATGTGGATGGAAAATGATGTAATTTGCATGGTGGCAATTTGGCTGGGGTGATGCTAATATTTAAGTACCCTGAAAACAAATACCGTAAGATCCGGTATATAACGTTCACTTTTAACTCAAAAATAAGATTGAAATTCACGGGTGCATGTTATACACCATGTACAAAAATGATAACTTTAAAAATAAAATTTTAAAAAAGATGAGCATTAAAGAAATTAGACTACGGCATTTTAATCGAAATACTGCCTATTTAAAAATAACTGCTTTTCTTATGAACTTAAAGGGTTGTACTACTAGAAGTATTCTATTTTTTTTTTTCAAACACTTGGAATAATACTTCTAATAAACGACTTCAAAATATTGAGCATTGTGTACTTACATTCCAGGTTTCTACTTAAAACTGGGTGACATTATACGGCGAATATACCTAAAAATTAAAAATTGTAGCTTGGAAGTATTGGTGCGTGTTATATGCCAGATTTTACGGTAATTGTCCATGTGAAAAGCAGTTTGCGATAATAAGCCACTCTATTTTAAAGATAGGCCCTTAAATTTGTTGATAACATTTGCTAATTTAATCGCGAATTGCAAAAAAATTCCATCATTATCAACACTTTGTAGTAGATTTTGCTGCAGAATCCGTGTTTATATTTGAAATTTCCTTGAGTATTTGAATGAAAATATCTTCAACTCCTCATTGCGTTCGAGTTGAGCTGTGTCAGTTGATGTACGTTTAAAGTTAAATATTTCATTAGCATTTTTATTTTTCTTTCTTTTTGTTCCTGGTTTTTTTTTTAATGTTTTGAAATTTAGTATGTTTTTGTTTTAACTTTTTTTTTATCAAGTGCAGTCAATTAGTTTCACTACATAAAAATGCCTGTAGGAAATCAAACTTAAGTCATCATACTCGCAAGGCAAAAGTAGTGCAACGAGTGTAATTGCACTTTAAACTGAGGAAGAACGGGCATCGGCAAAGGAGAAAAACAGACAAAGAATTATACAAACACATGCTGAGGGCGCAGCAGAGCAACATGCAGCCAGACTTGAGGATGCACAGTTGCGAGCACAGTATTTTGCAACATCAGATCTGCGCTGTTCTCAGTAAAAGGCATACACTAGGTTGCGAATGGCTGAATGATGTCAAACCAGAAACAGCACATCAGTCTCAAACATGACTTTGTGGTGAGCAATTACACAATAACTGTCTCGTTGCATTCCGTTGAAACCCAGAGAAGATTATAGGTTGAGCCAGAATATTCTGAAGGAATAAAGTGTATCCTTATTGCAATTCTCTGAAATTTAAGGGAGAAATAAAAGGAATGTTTTGTACCAATGGAAAAATTAAACTGATTCAACTCGAAGAACCACCAGAACCGTTGAAAACTTTGCCTGCCAGATATACTGCGGAATCAGAACATTTCCTATAAAGCATCAGGAAATACAATTCATGCTTCCAAATGACAGTTTGTAGGAATGTGCATTTGTGAACATACCTCTGATTTAACAGAAATATATATCAGCTCTGTAAAACTAGCCCATTGCCCTCAAGGAATCCGGAGTGTGGAGGCATTTAAAATTTATGTTCAAACTTCAAGTTTCCACTATGAAGATAATGTAAATAACTTTAGGTTCATAGCATAAGGACAGAAATAAACTGTAATAACTTAAGGTATTTGGTTACAAATTAAAAATGATATCAGTTAAGGAGAGTTTTGTGTAAAATATATTTATACATTTTTTTAATAAAAAAATCATACCTCCAATGCAAATGTTTAAACATACTGAAAACATGTATTTTCTCTCTAACCAGACTGAGCCACAGCAACACGTGGCAGGGTACAGCTAGTATATATATATATATGTAATAAGTCAATTCCTATTTAGGTCAACAAGGAAAACTTGTATTTTAGTTACTTTTTATTCAATAATTACAATTAATATAAATACGTATACACATACAACAGGACTACAGTATTAAATGACAAAATAGAAAATAATTTTCCTTGTAATTTTTCATTTTTCTCTCTATATAGGACGTTGGCTTTTTTTTGTGTTTGTTACCATGTATTAATTGATTAAATTAAATTATTCTAATGAAATAGCATAGTGAAATAGAAATTATATTCTCAGAAATTAGGCCATCCAAGGTGGGACTCGAACCCACGACCTTTGGATTAGAAGTCCAACCCGCTATCCTTTGCGCTACAGGGACACAATGAACGCTTTTCATCTCTTTAAATATGGTGTTGGACTAGTATTTTTGTTTGTTACTATTTATTCATTAATTAATGAATTAATATTTGAAAAAACTGTATTAATATCAATTGTTATCCATTATAAGTTTAAAAAAATATACTTGAACGGATGAATAGAAAGTATTTTGCTAACGATTGAAACTTTGAAGAAGATATATGTGTGTGTGTGCGTGCGTGCGTGTGTGTGTGTGTGTGCATGTACATATAGATATATAGGGAGAAAGTTAACTAATGGTAGGAATGAAAAAAGGTTAATATCCGCAATAAATTAATTGCTGAATAAATAAGTATTTACAATTAAATAAATGATCCATCTGTCGAATGAATTCAAATGCTTATAAATCTGTAATATTGATCGCCAATTGATGACGAAATGTTTTCTTTGTACATATTGCTCTATTAATATAATTACATGTGTTTTCAAAAATAAAAAAAAACATGTTTTTAAAAGGATTGCCATAAGCCTTAAACGAATTTTTATTTTTACTTAGTTATTATTTGACAGTAAGTTATCGGAATCGGAGTTAAAAGTAACGTCAAAGAACGTTAGGTAATATGTCTTACGATTTTAAAATGTATTAATTACCACTATTTTATAAATAGCTGTGTTATATTTCTTTACTGTATAATTTACAGAAATCGATTAATTTTATACTAGATTACGTGCAACTTTTTATGCATTTTAAGTTTTAAGTTATTCAATTCCTACACGCTCTCTCTCTATATATTTATTTATTTATCTTGTGGAATTTTCAAACGTTAATAAAAAACATTTAAAAGCTCTTCATTGAGCTGAAATTTTATATACATGATTATTTATGATTATTTTGGATGACAATACAATAAATTTATTATAATTAATAAAATTTGATTAAAACTAATTATTTAAAGAATTACAAACACATTGGCATCATTTCTGGCGACTTAGTGACCTTTTGGGCGACTTGTGTCAAAACTCTTGAAAAGGTTTTTTTCTCACGTTTTAAAACATTCTGTTGAACTGAAATTTTATAGACACGATTGTTTTGGATGATAATACGATACTTTAATGATAATTAATAGAAATTAATGACCACTCAGTGTTGTGATTCAGTCCTGTTTAATAAAAAATAACTAAAATAAAATATTTCTTTGTTGATCGAAGTAGGAACTGACTTAATTTTTTATATATATATTGTTTGTTTTTAGTTAAAGTAGCCACACTAAAAATTTTTTTCACCATATATTTTAAAATGTTTTTTACTCCGTGAATTAAAGTTAGCATTCAATTTCTTCAGTAAATTATCCATTAAGTCTTATATTGCTAAAATAGTACTAAAAATTAGTTTATATTAGTATTAGTTCAGGTATTTATAAATACTGAAATTTCGAGTTAAATTAAACATTTTATTGTGAGTTAAAAGAGAAACCTACCATTTACCTATCAGAATACCTTACAAAATTGATAAGTTATCTTTTTTATACTGAGAACGAAAGTAGAACTCATTCGATTTTTGCGCCATCAAAAGAATTCACCTAAAAACGAACGCACTGATTTGAGTTAATTTTAAATGCGATTTATTTTTAATAAAATTCTCTTTTTTTATGTTTAATATTTATAATGACTAAATTTATGACGTCATAAAACTCAAACACGTGCTTCCAGCCAATCATGTTTACTGTTAGTTTCTACACAAAAAGAACAAAAGTTATCTTCTTTTAAAATTACATATTTTCTAATTACAATAGAGCAAATAGAAAAGCAAAATGTACTTGATTTAAAAGTACACGCATTACAGTAGCTGTCAAAAGTGTCCGTATGCTTGCATTTTTCTAAAATATTTTGTTTTTGCCTAATACAAATTATTATACCAGAATCATAATTTTTTATTATACATGGGGACCGGGATTAAAGTATCCAAAATTACGCCTTATTATTACAGAAAAACTGACCCATCAGAATGTAAAAAAACTGTTCATCCGTGGGTTGAAAACCCCTCCTAGAGTTTTTGGGGTCTAGTCCGATCGGCACTACATTATTCAGCAATCGCAAATGATAAACTTGTATCACTGACTTCATTAATAAAGATGTGGACACCACAGCAAAATGTGTAGTGCGTATTTTGGTTATAACGGAATTTAAATCGGTCACACGTGTACTGCGACATGTTCGAACAGAACGGAATGCCAATCCTCCTACATCTTAATCTATCCACTGATGGTAAAGGACTTTAAAGGAGACGGGAACCATATTCCATTGTGTTTGAACACGTCTCTGTACACGCATGACTGATTTAAATTCCGTTAACCAAAGTACTCACTGCACTTTTTGTTATGGCATCCACATCTTTATGGATGAATTCAGTGTTACAAGTTTATCATCTGCGATTGCGAAAAATGCCCCCCCGTCACCCCTACAGACTACGGGGAAAAAAAATCACGAGGGTTTACCAATCCAAGGATGAACAGTGTATTATTTTCCGATGGGTAGTTCCGTAATAATAAGTTATAGCTTTTGGATACTTTAGACCCGACCCCTTTTGATAATAACTTGTTTTATTGAATAACATAATAAATTTTTTAAAACTTGTTATTCTACTTTTTAAAAAAAATGTTTTTTGTTTTTCCCAAAAAAAACAAAATTCAGTTTAATAAGAAATTTGTGGGCCTGCCCGTGGGACCCCCCATTCTACATTACTACGCGACCGCGGGGGGAAAATCGAAAATACCAAATCATTCATTTTAAACTTTTTTTTTTAAGGGGCTTAAACAAACCAAAAACAACAATAATAATTGTTGATCTAGAATGGGAAAACGCAAAACCCATTTCCAAAAATCGAGTAACCCCCCGAATCTAACTTTTAGGGTTTTTCTATCACTAATATGCCCCTTTTGTATAACTTATATAAAAATCTTACCTTATACCGATAAAACAGCTACGTTTGGTATCTGTTCTGATGTGGCTTTAATCCAACATATTCCTTTATGGCCTCGAACCCCCCTTTTGTTTGGCAGTACCGGCACGGGTAGGTTTTTTCACGGGGTTAGGTTTTCAATTTTTCAAAACACTTTTCAGCTAACCCCACCTCCCCCACTTAACAAACACTTTGCACATGGAAACCGAACAAAAGCTCTACAATTTAAAAAATAATTTTTTTTTTCAAACCACGTTTTTTTCTTTATTAGTTGAAACCCCCAAAAAACCCCCCTAGGACATTAATAAAAATTTAAAAGGGGTCCGGACACCCCTGATATAAAATTTTTTAATAGCAAACAAAATTTTTAAAAACCTTCCAAAAATTTTTTCAAATTTTGGAATTTTTTTTTTAAAAATAAATAAATAAATATGAATTTTAATACTAGTACATCTTTACCTAATCACGAAATCTGAAATTTTATCTAAATTGTAAAAGTAGTGACAAGTACCAGTCTAATTTCGATTTTGAATGCAATAGGAAACACATGGCTGCATTTATCACGTAATCGTCGTGAATTTACACAGTTGGCTGTAATTGGATTTAAATGGGTTGGTTAAATGTTTTCCAATGTGTATTTTTCCCTGAAATGTCTTATTTTAACCGATTTTAAAAATTTGTAAAAGTTGGTGTGCTATAAAAATTTCCTTGGTTCTACTGAGAAATAGAGGCTGTAAAAATATTTCTTTTCATTTTTATTTCGAATAATCTACAATGTGTTTGTGTGAGCGTTATTTTTATAGTATTTACAAAAACATATTTCGTTCCCTAATTTGAAATCAATATCAATTGAACCACTTCTTGGTATCCTTTCACCAATGCCATTCGTCACCTAGCCATTTCGTAACACACACCTAACATAGACATTACATTTTTTTAAAATTGTGAGACTTAAGGTACAAAGAAAAATAGTTTAAAACTAAGATCAAATCACGTGGTCCTTCTTCCAATAAATAAATTATTCATCACTGACATTGATGTATTTGATGACCCAAATATCAGTATTCGTTTGGAAAAACGCTCAATCTTTTTGCAAGAATGCTTCAGAGCCAGTAAATGGTTCTCTAATGGTCTTAACAAAGAAAATATTGCTCTTTTAATGATGTTCTGAATGTAATGGACAACGCAAAATATAAACTCAGTTGGACCATGAACCGTGGCATATAAGAACAAAATCAAGATGCCGATTTTTTTTCTACCTACAGATCTAATAAAAACTAACAGCATAATATTTTATATTATACTTCAATGGGGAATATATTTTACTTTTCCCTCCTTACTAAGATATTAATGGTCATTTTAGGGAATTTTTATTGGGTTTATATTTTTATCCTTTCCTTATTGATTTATTTCTGTTCAATAATTTATTATTACTAGTTTGATTTTGCAGCTACTAAGATGCTGAGTATCAAGATATGTAACTACACTGGTGTTCAAAATGTAAAGAATTTTAAGATTTGGTTAATTATCTCTAGAGTTACTGGGCAGATTTTAAGGAAATTTGGTAAGTTAGCAAAACTGAGAAGGACACAAACAACAAGTCTTATAAAGATCCCTCTCTCATGAAGTCTTTTATAAGCAGTCACCTTTCAAACTCGAGCTCTTGGGGACTCATACAACGCACAAGAGAACTAAAAAGTTGTTTTGCATCCCTTTTACATCTTGCTATAATGGAGGAAAAAATTATGGTCTTCTCTGGTCATCGTATTTTTTAGACGACCTTGCCTAGGTTTTCTCTAGATGGAACCGGAATCCTGGAAATGTTTTCATAAGTTGAACACGACGTCGGGTGTTAAATTTAATTCTCTATCAATCTGTATTTGAGACTGGACCGTTTCAAGCGTACCCACAATTATCCATCCTCTAAACGTTGGTGGCTTCTCATTTTTACTGTTTGAGTTTTATATTAATCGGTTTCTGCCGAAAACACCAAGAATTTCAGCGAGGTTGGTGTACTAGCAATTGGAATGGGGATTTTGTCACATTTGCTTAAAATTCCTTTT